GGATGTTTATGAACTTTCTCTTCAACCTCCTTGTTACCCCAGAAGAGGACCAAACTGTATATGACTTGGAAGCAAATCCAAGCCATGAAAGACCCGGTGAGAGGCAGATGGCCTGCAGGAGGTACCAAAGACAAGGACATCTTGTAGCATCGCACCCTGACATAAAGAGGTGCAATGGGTGGTGAATACATTACATTTCACAGTCAAAGAGTTAAGCAGATGAATCAAGATCAGCTATTAAGGCTAAGCTTTCCAGTAACAAAGGTGTCAAAAAGACATTTTGTGTGTCCTTAGTGAGAAAGCTGGGTTTGTTTTTAATTTTGGCATTGATGCCTATGTGATTAAGAGTGAACAGAAGTCTCTAATGGACAAAAAGTACAAAAAATAATCTATAACTGCAGATGTTCTCTCTGAGTGTAAGAAAAAAATATCCTACCCTATGTTTGGTTGTCACATTCCGAAAACAATGGTACTTTGCTAAAAACCAGAAGGATGAACAGCTCCCTGTGAAGATTACTTCGCTGAACTGGCCAGCAGAAAGCATTCAATAGCAACTTCCCCAACACTTTTCCTAGAAACTAAATATGCTAGCACCTTTAGAAAATTCTACCTCTACCTGCCCGGGCAGCAAGAATTGTTTATGTTCTTGAGATTGAGCCATCTCACCAACTCACAGAACCTTTTTTTTTTTTGTATTAGTTGTCAGCATTAAATATATTCATAAGCAGGAGACTATGGACAGGAGACAATGCTTGGATTACCTTTCATATTTTTCTACTTTAAGGGGAAATTATACTTATGTTGAAACCAGATGGACATTGTCTCTCATAGTGCTGGGGCAGTCTCTCTGTTTTCATGAGACCATGTCTGAATGAGCATTATAGAAACTATATTATCTTTCTTTTACAATAAATTATTTAGAATTTGTTACCTGGTTCTAACATGTTATGGGGTCTACTTGAACCCTGATTTCAAAGCACCTGTGAAAGTTCAATGTTCCTAACTACATGCTGGAACCAAAATAAATGTGTCTTAAAAGTATTTGCAAGTGCAGCACTTAATAAAGGGCATAAAGTTTCCAGTTTATACCTTTTAGGATAATCTATGCTAACCGAATCCATCAGAGCTACATAGGAACAACATTCCAAGAGGAGCTGTGGAGGCAAAAAACCTAACTGGCTTCAAGGCTGAGCTTGATAAGTTTATGGAGGGGATGGTATGATGAGACTGCCTACAATGGCATGTAGCCGATATGTGACTACTAGCAGCAAATATCACCAATGGCCAGTGATAGGACACCAGATGGGGAGGGCTCCGAGTACTACAGAGAACTCTTTTCCAGATGTCTGGCTGGTGGGTCTTGCCCACGAGGTCTGGGTCTGACTGACTGTCATATTTGGGGTCGGGAAGGAATTTTCCCCCTGGTCATACTGGCAGAGACCCTGGGGGTTTTCACCTGCCGCTGCCGTATGGGATACGGGTCACTTGCAGGTTAACACTAGTGTAAATGGTAGATTCTCTGTAACTTTAAGTCTTAAAATCATTATTTGAGGACTTCAGTAACTCATCTAGAGGTTATGGGTTTATTACAGGAGTAGGTGGTTGAGGTTTGGTGGCATGTAACATGCAGGAGATCAGAGTAGGTGATCAAGATGGTCCCTTCTTGCCTTAAAGTCTACGAAATAACAGGAATTGTAAGACAAAGTGCAAACTGCAGAGTAATCCATAGTCACAGTAGTCTGCTTGTAGCTTTTGCTTTTAGCTGATGATTTCACCACTTATTTTAAATGTGAGGGATTACAGAATGTACACACCGTCTTCGGCTGTCTGAAAATTCCCAACCTCCTACAGTAATCAGGTGGAGAGATTATTTTGCTACTCTGTATGTCTCAGCAGAGCCACTCATAATATAGGATGACAGAAAAGAGAGTACGGAGCCAGAGCCATCAATCCTGCGAAAGGAAGTGGTGTGTGCTATTATGAAAATGAAGACTGGGAAATCACCAGGGGTAGATAACATGCCTGCAGAATTGTTAAAAGGGATCGGCAATCGCAATACTGAAATTATGTGGAAAAATTGTAGTGATATATGGATGACTAAAAATTGGCTGGAGGACTGGACAAAGGAAATTTTTCTGCCTTTCTCAAAGAAGGCAGACATGACAGTTGTAGTAACTATCATAACATCACACTGGTATTGGATGCGAGCAAAGTTCTTCTCTGCATAATTCAGAATAGCATGAAACAAAGGATAGAAGCAGAACTACCACCACAACAGTCTGTTTTCAAGGCACATTGACCAAATGGCGAATATTAGTCACATCACTGGAAAAATGCAGAGAGTACAATCACCCACTTATCACATGCTTCACTGACTACTCAAAAGCGTTTGATTCTGTCTGACATGGCCATCTTTGTAGGATATTGGCAGATATGGGGAGTCTAAAGCATTCCAAATTGGCAGATATAGGGAATCCAAAGCATGAACTCATTGCAAGTCTCTTCCACCAACATCAGCCATGGTGCGAACAGTGGGCATTCTATGAGACAAGAGTGTATTTTGTTGCAAGCCTCTAACACATACACCAAATTTATGATGAAACAAGGCTTGGAAGGTTTTGACAAAATAGAACAAACTTGGATTTCCATTAGTGGACATCTAACTGACCTCACAAATGCTGATGATATTACACTCTTTGTAACAACTATGATGCAAATGTTGGAGTCTGTAAAAAAAAGTTAGTGAGGAATATGGACTATTCCTGAATGTGATGAAAACAAAATGCAGATACATTGACTCAGATAACAAAAATAGGATGCAAGCAGAAATCATAATTAATAGACAAGCTAGAGAGGCAGCAGATTAATTTAATTATCTGGGATCATATATAGACAATCAATGAAGCTGTTTCAAAAAATCAAAAAAGACAAGGGATGGCTTGCTCAGGAATTGCCTCCCTTAAGAAAGTGTGGAAAAAACATTCGGTCTCAAAAGGGGCAACTGGTGAAAAGACTAATTTTTTTTCCATACAGATTTATGGATGTGAATAAAGTTAATGCTGCTGACAAGAAGAAAATTGAAGCTTTTGTAATGTGCTGCTGGCAAAGACTCTTGCATATTTCATGGACAGAAAAAAAGATGAATGTCTATGTTAGAAAAAGAAATGTTGAAGAGAAGTAGACCCTGATGTCAAAAACCAATAGAAGCAAACTTACGTACTTTGGTCACTTTAGGCATAGGAAATAACCTTGAGAAAGTTATTATGGAAAGAATGGTGGATGGTCATCGTAGTAAGGAATGATCAGTGAAGAGATGAATGGATGGTGCAGCAAATCACTGGAAGGTCAGATGCTGAGTGCTTGAAGATAGCGATGGATCATGAAGGCTTCTGAAAATTCTGCTGATATAATTGTTATGCAGACATGAATAAATAGATTTATTTACAATAATCTACTCCCTTTAGTTGTATAAAGATGATTACCAAGGATGTTGGCAGCAAAACCAGGAGTCATACTAACCCCTCCCACCCATTCTACAGATAAGTGGAGACATTTTTCTTTTCATCAAATGAAAATGAGATGGGACCTCCACCAGTCTGAAAGTTGAGTCCAGTTAACATGTGACCTCAATTGCCTACCAAATTTGTGAGTACATCTGGTTTGTACATGCAAAACCCATATTTGCCCTCACAAAACCTACCTTCTGATTATCACACTGCGTAATTGCACATAATGTTGAATTACCCAATTTGCTAACAAATGGGCTTGCAAAATTTGCATGAATAGATAAGGTGGCCCGCTAAAAATGTGTCCCTTAGGTACCCAATGAAACCATATTATGTTACTGCAAACAGGGAGGAAGAAAATTATTGGAGATGGAGTCCCACAATCCATGATGGAGATAGCCGAGAAAATTATCTCCAGAGTAGCAAACTATGGAAACAGAATGTATATGATGATCTATGCTTAGCTCTGTGGGTAGGTACTGAAATCCCCATTAAGCTGTTTTCTTTGACAGTCAATGGGTGAGATCAAATTCTGATGTTATGGCATGCAACATTTTTATTTAAGGACTCAAGCTGGTATGTGAGTCATTTTTCAAAGGCAATCTTTATTGTATCCATATAGAAGCATCTTTCTTTTGTTGTTGTTAACAGAGTCTAGATCAAAATATGCCATTTTACATCAACTATTTTTAACATATACTTAACATCATATTTTATTTCGTCTAATTGCAATATGAATGCTTTCTAATAAGGTTACCTCAGCAAGCTTACAATGAAGACTGCACCAACTGCTAATGTTTTACTTAGCTGTAACATAGCAGTTCATTTGCTTCACAAAATGATTTCAAAGTGAAATATTTTCATACCTCCCTCTACATCAGCATTTTTGCAGGCTGCAGGCTCTACTCAGCTACTGCATCTGCAGTGAATCATATATAATGATCATTTTAATGAAAGAAGAAATATTATGCATGTAAGGTACATACATATTTTCTTTTCCAATAACATCACTAACGCTTTTTTCAAGAACACTAACTTTCATGCAGGAGTGGTCACTTTAGCCTCAGTGGTATTAAACCTTTGAGTCTAGATTAGAGTAAGTGCATTTTTGGTTTCACAAAGAACTTAAACAAACAAACAACAATTCCACTCTGGAAAGCTCATGGGTTTCAGCATCATTCAAATTAAAATACAGAATATATTAGTCCAATTCTATTAACATCTCACCTGCATTACCAAACTAAATCAGAAATGAAGATGCTAAAGAAGAAAAATAGCACTGATTCACTGCCCTTTGGAAAAAATTATGCTATTAATGAGTAATTCTTGGTTTTGAGGATTTCGACCATATCATCACAAAACTAACCAATTAGTAGGTTAGCTCACACATATAATAATGTCAGACACATATAACCTTTTTTTATTTGAATAAACAATTAAACATGATGACTTTTGTGCTGGTAGATACTGATTGAATGGATCTTTGCCTCTTACCATCCACGCAGGCTGGCCTTGCTCTTGTTGTACCGGCAATCTGTCCTTTTTTACATGCACAGCGAGCTGTTTGTCGGGCTATAGTCCTTCGGGGCTGACTGCTATCTCTGTCCAAAGTAACAATCTCACATGTACCTGCAGCCAGTTGACCTGGAAAAAGAACCAGCAACAGGTACCAGAGTCACTGAATGCACTACAGGCAATCTATTACAGCTGAATAGAGTCATGGCCCAATGTCACGGCAGACACTCCACAACAAATGGGAAGCCAGCTGATGGATATAATAAAACTGAGATGCCATACAATTTTTTCTTTGTGGTGGACATGTGAAAACCTTGGAAACTGGTTCTGTCAGAAAATGGTTATTGTTCTATAAAAGCAGGAAAGGTAGGGTCAAACAGATTACTTTTATGTTAGTTGGTGTAAAGGAACAATCCATTTTTGCAGCAATGAAATAAAAAGTGGCATGTCTATATGTGTGGAAAACAAATGTTTGAAAATACCAAAGGGAAATTTCAGAAAATATCTGCAAACGGTACCCTTTCCATGAATGTAAATCTTAATTACAGGATTTTTTTCTTTGAAAATCCAGTTTTATAACAAAGTATTTAAAAGTTTGAGCAGATTTTTCAATCCCTTAATTTAGCTTCCATCCCATCACAATAAAATACAAAAGCACTTACATACATATTTCCTATTAGATATTAGCCTGTGATCCTTTTATACAGTAATCATGCCATCAACTTGCAAACCACATCAAGATGACACTATTTAATAGCCAAGCATATAAATATGTATAAATAGCCCTGATCTATGTTGTTTTCTCCAAAGATACTAAGAAAGCCCATTCAGTTTGATTCTGGATTTCATACTTGCTTTAGGATAGAAAGAGAAAGTAATAGAAAATGTTTTTGGTGGAAGTTGTGCCAAAAGTGAATCTTGAAAGTTTGAAAAGTCACATTCCTTTTGAAGATGTTGATAACATGACACTAGTAAAGGCAAATATTAAGTTTTGCAAGCAAGACAGATTTATTATAGATAATACAGTGGTTAATAAGGTAGAAAAACAGACTATCACTTTTCACCGGGCAGGTGTATTATTTATCTCTTCTAGATTTTATGTTACAGTGTAAGATAGCACTTTTATTTGGTCTTGTACTTGCATGCAATCAATTACAACCATTTATGTGAACATATGCAAAAATGTGCCTGAAATTCATAAGCTAACTACATCTAGTTCTCAGAATACTTGAGATGGAATAAATGCCAATCTGGAGATGTCAAACCAGGCCGTGCAATTTCAACAATATTTCTAGTAAATGGTTTCAGGTCTATTGCAAACTTTAATGTTTCTTGTCAGGTGGGTCTTACGATGTAAGGTGCACATTTGAGCAAGCAGTTAAAGACTGTGATATCTGATCTTTTACTACCATAGTTCCATAAAAATAAACCCTCTAATTTCACAAAAAGCTACTTAAAACAAAAGATAAATTCAAATGAAGTAAAGTCTAAATGATTAAAATAATATTGCCATTTTTTCTACATGTAATACAATTCTCACCTAGTAGATTCTCACCCTTAATGTTTCTCAGCTTATGTTTCATGACCACTCCCCCTGGGAAATGTGAATAAGATTTTTGAAATGGTCAGAGGAGCAAAATATTGATGGGTCTCATCCAGCCACTGGGACTGATTCACCAATGAGTTGATCTAATTTTATGTTGGTGAAACTCCATGATATCAGTGAATTATACCAGGGTAAAACTGAAATAACACAATGATGAATCAGGAGCACAGCATTCTACAGACTACTACACATATTTACATATCTATATTAATCTATCTAAAGGTTTTCCAAAGCACCCATCACCATGTTATCTAGTGCCTACTAGTTAAACTAGATTTGCACAGAGATTTTTAGAGAACTTCATGAACCTTCTTCTCTTCTGCCTTCCCTGGTTAAGATGTGTTTATCGGAAGCAGGGACTATTGATTTTTTATTTTGTTTGCTTCTTCTCTCTTCCTCCTCTCTTCCATTAATCTGGTTATGGTGGGAAAGCTTTTCAAAAGAGGAGGACTTTGCAGCTTGCCCAGCCTCTGTATTTGCCTGACCTCCCTTGGAAAATTATTCCAAAGTTGACACCCCTTAAATTGAAGGAGTAAGTAAGAAAGAAAGAAAGAGATTTTCCACATCTCTCATACATCTTGTCCTGCGCTTTGAGAGCTGCATTGTCCCAAAGGAATGTAAATACATTAATAAGTCATGTGGAGATGCAGTCATTGATGTGGCTAGATCAGGGGTGGGCAAACTACGGCCCGCGGGCCAGATCTGGCCCCTTAGGGCTTTGGATCTGGCATGCGGGATTGCCCCCAGTGGTGCTGTGGGCCCCACGCCGCTCTCAGAAGCGGCCGGCACCATGTCCCTAGGGCCCCCGGGCACAGGGACAGAGGGCTCCATGCGTTGCCCTTGCTTCCAGGCACTGCCCCCCGCAGCTCCCACTGGCCAGGAACGGAGAACCGCAGACAATGGGAGCTTCAGGGGAGGTACCTGGAAGCGCGGCAAGGGCAGCGAACGCGGAGCCCTCCGCCTCCCTCCCCCAGTGGCCGCAGCACTTCCTGGAGTGGTGCAGGGCCGAGAACAGGGCAGGCATGCAGGGAGCCTGCTCTGGCCTCGGTGTGGGCCAGTGCCACCCCGGAGCCGCTTTAGGTAAGCAGTGTGGGCCGGAGCCTGAATCCCTCCTGCACGCCTCCTGCACGCCAACCCCCTGCCCTGAACCCCCTGCCCTGAGCCCCCTGCCGCACTCCTCCTGCACCCCAACCCCCTGCCCTGAGCCCCCTCCTGCACCCCGTACCCCTCCTGCACCCCAAACCCCTGCTCTGAGCCACC